TTAGGGGCAACACCATCACTGGTGGACCCCTGGGGGCCGCACTGTGACCACAGGATGGGGTACAGAGGGTGCTCTTGGCACAGCTGGATCCAGGAAGGGGCCAGGGCGGCGGGCTCCGTGGGCAGGACAGGTGCTTGGCAGCTGTCCCAGCCCGGGCAGCCACCAGCCTGCCCGTGACTTCCCAGAGCCGAGGCTTTATCTTTGCAGCACACAGAGGACAACTGATAAACTTGTCATCGAGACAGCGTGGAGTGGGCACTGGGTGCCGGGGGTCTCTGGCTGGAAGGCAAGGAGCAGGGCACCTGCTCGCTGCCCACCTCGCCTTCTGGAAGCGCAAGGAGCTGTGCTGAACCTGCCTGCAGGTCAGGCATCCCTGAGGGTTGTCCTTGAGGGATCTCGTTCTCCTGGTGCCCGAACTGGTTGCCTGGGACCCCGGCGGACCAGCCAGGCCCCAGGCCCTGCGCGGTGTGCAGGTGACGAGTTCTCAGAGCGGCCCGTACCCTGCAGCAGCACAGCTGGCCAGCGCATCTGAAGTCACCCTGGAAAAGCAGCAGCCGATGAATCATAGCCTGGAGATGCAACACGAGACCGGGATTGGATCCTGAACCCAAAAAGGGCACGATGGGAAAATGTCGACTATTTTTAAAAATTCTCTTACATTGCTCATTTTTGTACAGTGATTGGCTTTTCTCCTCAGATTTCTACTGTTATCTGAAGACGGATTTATAGTATTTTATGCAAGCTGATTCCCTGGTTTGGCCAGTGCACCCGGCTACATAAGATGTCAGCACTAGGAGAAGCTAAGTAAAGGGTGCTTGGGAACTCATTCAAGTTCTGAGTCTAAAATCAATTCAAATAAAAGTTTAAAAAATTGCAAGACTTTTACTGCATATAAGAAGACAGTCACTCTTACTTCCCCCTGTTGTTCCCAGGCTCTTGTATTCCAGTCAAAAGTGGAAAAGCACCACAGGATAGAATCATCTCAGAACTCTGTTCTGCTTTCTTAGACTTGGTTTTATGTCACTTACCTCTGTGTCATCACTTGGTCACTTTGATTGATTAAAACCCATGAGTACATACACAAACATCAACTCGAAGTGGATTAAAGACCTAGACATAAGAACGGAAACCATAAAATACCTGGACGCAGAAATGGGCAAAACACTACACGACTATACTTCAGCAACATCTTTGAAGATAGAGCACCCAATGCAACGATAGTGAAGGCAAGGATAAATAGATGGGACCACATCAAGTTAAAGGGCTTTTGTACAGCAAAAGAGACATTACAAAAGACAGACAGACATCCCACTGATTGGGAAAAAAATTTCTCACACAAAACTAGCGATAAAGGATTGATCACAAAGATATACAAAGAAGTGATGAAACTCAACAAAAAATAAACAACCCCATCAAAAAATGGGCAGAAGAGCTAAAAGACACTTCTCCAAAGAGGAAGTGCAGATGGCCAACAAGCATATGAAAAAATGTTCAACATCACTCGTAATAAGGGAGATGCAAATTAAAACCACAATGCGATACCACCTCATCCCAGTGAGAATGGCACATGTTCAAACAACTAGCAACAACAAATGGTGGCGAGGATGTGGAGAAAAAGGAACTCTCCTGCACTGCTGGTGGGAATGCAAACTGGTACCACCACTATGGAAAACTGTTTGGAGGTTCCTCAAACTGCTAGACATGGAGCTTTCCTATGACCCAGCAATCCCATTCCTAGGTATCTACCCAAAGGACACAAAAACACTGATTCAAAAAGACACCTGCACCCCCATGTTTATTGCTGCTTTATTCACAATTGGAAAGACATGGAAGCAGCCCAAATGCCCAAAAGTGGATGACTGGATCAAAAAGATGTGGTACATATACACAATGGAATATTACCCAGCAACCAAAAAAAAATTAAACACATGTCTTTTGCCAGTTCTGTATGCATAAGTAAATAAATATTTTTTAAAAAAAGAAGTTGGGGTTTTATGGTAATAAAAGAGGAACCTGAAGTAAGTAGTTAAAGAAAAGAGTCATTGGAGTTTACAGGCTTAACTATTCTTGGCTGGACACACTGTTTCTGATTCTCTGGAAAGGGGGGAAAGGAAACGGACTGAGTCTGTCCTCAGGCTAGAAGCCCGTAATAGATGGCTTAGTGGTTCCTTGAAACAATCGCTTTTGGTCCCAGTGGATGGAGACAGGTAATGCCAGTTCTGTGTCTTGGCCCCCAGCTCCGCTTTATTTTTTATTTATTCATTTTTAAAAAAGGTTTACTTACTTATGCATACAGAACTGGATGGGGGTCCTGGGCCAGAGGTGCAGGAGCGGTGAGAGGACTCACCAGGGGCAGAGAGGGGGACCTACGAGGTCCACTGCTGAGGGGAGCGGTGGGCAGGTCGTGAGAGGTCTGCCGCCCAGGTGGGTCAGCCCCCTGGCCGGGGATCGAACCCACTCTTGGCTGCAGCCAGCTTCACTGAGCTGCGCTTTAACCTGTTGTGCCACCAGGGAGGGCCTCCAGCTGCACTTTAAAGTGACTCCACAGATGTGAGCCCTCCTCAGTCCACCCCAGGGAGCCAGTGCGCCAACCTCGGCCCAGTTCTGATCCCGCTCTTCCCATGTTCCCGTCGACCGCCACACTGTCATGTAGAGCGCTGGTTCCCCAATGGGGTTGGTGTTAGCACGCCTGACCTCGTGGCAGGAGGATGGGGGTGACACCCCCTGTGCCGAGGGGTGGCTGGGGACTCCATGCCTGTGGTTAGGCATGTGATCTGCACCTGCAACCGAAAAAATCAGGAGCTCCTTTTCCACGGGAGAGAAACTTTTACGCAGAGTGCACAAAGGCCTCACAACATTGGGGTCCTCTGGATGCCGTCCCAGCCCAAGCCCACCCTTGAGAGTAAACACGTCTGCTGGATGGTGAAGCCCAGGGCCCCGCAGTCTGCACACAGCCACAGAGGCGCCGCACAGACCGCAAAGTATTAGAGGCACAGTGATGAGGTTCCTTGAATGCTTGCTAGTATTTTCTTAATAGAGGCTGCACCACAGAAAAGGAGGGCAGGTCTCGTTGTCATCTAGAGTAGCATTTCAGAAATAAAACTCGGGGGAGTTCAGCAGAAAGGAGGAGCGTGGAGAAGCAGGAGAGAGCCGAGCATGCTGATCCCTCAGTCTCACCCATTCCTCCCTCCCTGTCAGAAGATTCCCGCCCTCACCAGAGGAATCCCTAAGGAGGACGCTGTCTCCTGTTGACCTTCCTCCCACCCACTGACTTAGTGATCGGCCACGTGACTGCCTTGGCCAGCGGACCCGAGTGAAGCACACCTCACTCAAACAGAAGCTGTGAGGATCCCGGCTTTGGCTCAGTGTCTCCCCGTCACGAGCACGCCACATCCCAAGTACGTGCTGTTGCCTGTGGTGGATCCTGGAGTGACCCACGGAACCAGCCAGTGTCTGCGGCCGCTGAAACTGCGCCACGAGCGAGAAACACACCGTTATTTACTGGGGCTCACTGGTTTTATTTCTGAAATTAGTGGAGCATGACCTAGAATGCTGACTTACAGATCCATACTCGGGCAACAGAGCTGAGGCAGGGCCGCCAGTCTAACGGCACCTTTTCATTGGCAGAACATGCAGCTGACCTGAGGGCAAACTTGGGACATGTGTGTTGGAAAATGTGGCAGACGTGGCAGAATCAAGTCCTCATCTTGCTCAGCAGTCTTCCTTCCGCCCTCCCCCCTCCATCTACCCTTCTTTTCTTGTGAGGTTTAGGTCTTAACGTTACCCTTGCTTCACAGAAGGAATTAGAACGTTTTCTTTCATTTTAAGCTTTCTGAACAAGATAGAGAGCGTTGTAGTGAAGGACTGGTGGCTTTTCTGTGGACTGCGGTGAGCAAGCGGGAGCACTCCTAGGCTGGAGTATCTTAACAGATTTAACAGAGGGGAGCCGGGAAGGAGGTTCTTGTGAAGAAGTGATCTTCATTTTTATCTCCCAGGATAAGGGCTGTCTTGTGAATTTTGTGATTTGGATAATGCTGTGTTGTGTATTCCTGATACAATGCTGTATCCCTGAGTGCTCCTGCCTTCGCCTTGTTCCCTCAACCAGACAGGGTAAGCTCTGATGTTGGTGCCTTGTGAAATGGCTCATGACCGACAGGACCCCCAAAGCCAGCTCCTCAATGTCCTTGGGAAGTCTTTTCTCTTTCTCAAATCATTAAATTAAATGCAATATTTACTTCTAACCTTCTTTTCTTTCTTAAAGATTTATTTATGCATACAGAACTGGGGTATAGGCCAGAGGTGCAGGGGATTTACCGGAGAGGATTCACAGGTGACAGCACAGAGCAGAACAGGCAGATGGAGGAAGTCCACTTCTGAGGGAGCAACCGGGAGACAGGAGAGGTCTGTCGGACCAAGTGGGTCACTCCCTGGCGGGATCGAACTCCTGTTGAAGTGGCTGCGGCTAGCCTCGCAGTGCTGCGTTTGTCCCGTTGTGCCACCAGGGAAGGCCCTCTAACCTTATTTTCTAGTTGTGTATGTTTGTTTTTGTAAATAAGAAAACTTGACAAAAAAATATCTAAGTTGGGTATGTGAACAAATACATTAGAAAAAACGAACCGAGGATATTGGGAAAACAAAGGAGGGTGGGGAAGGACTGAAAAATCTCACTGCGATAAGAATAAAAAAAATATCTCTAGTAAAAATTACTTATACACGGTTTGCAAGGCAAACCGCAAACCCGGATAAAAGGTCATCAGAGCTTTTGAGGAAGGTAGATCTCCAATAAGCTAAAAGTAAGAAACCTTCACACCAGTCAATATAAAAAGCGAACTTCCCGGATAGTTTTCATTTCCTACTGTCAGAATGTACCGTTGTACCCCAAGAGTAAGAGCAATGTGAACACGGCGAGGCGGGGCTTGCAGCGGCGCCTCAGGGCGGGACTACATTTCCCGGGGGGCTATGCGCTCGCTCTTCCGCCCTCCCGAGAGGCTCCGCGCGCTTTACGCGCCAGCTTTGGCCTCAGCCAGCGAGACGCGGAAACGCTGAGGATGGACAGCAGCGACGAGAGGGCGGTAGAGAAGCAGCGTGTCCACTTACGCCCCGACACGCTGCGCGACGCCGCGCCCGGCACGTTGCACCTCCTGCCCTGCGAGATCCCAGTTAGCCGGCCCGCCCCGGTGGGGTGCTACTTCACCCCGGCCATCCGGCAGGGCGCTCACGGTGAGCGCGGGCGGCCGGACTACGGCTCCCGGCAGCCCCCGCGCCGGCGCCGCGCTCTGCCGGGCGAGCAGCGCCACGAGGGCTCCTGGGAACCGTGGTCCAGACGGAGGTGGCGGGCGGGTCGGCCCGGGCTTGCCCCGCGGGGTCGCCTGGCCTCCCGCGCGCACTGAGGCACCGCGCCCGCCTCCGCCAGGACTCGAAGCGTCGTTTCGCGGCCGCAGCCTCCGGGGCGAGGAAGTGAGGGTGCCGCCTGGCCTCGTCGGCTACGTGGTGATGGAGGAGGAGGGGGCGGTGGCGCCGGGGGAGCCTTACTTGTCGGGGAGTGCCGAGCAGGAGCCGGCGGAGCCCCCGGAGGCGCTGGAGCGGGACTTCGTGAGTCAAGGGGCAGAGCGGGCAGGGGGGCGGGCGAGCGGGGCCCCCGACGCTGACCCCGGCGCCGTCCCCAGGACCGCTTTATGGGAGCCACGGCCAGTTTCAGCGGCTTCACCCTGTGGGGCCTGGAGACCGTCCCCGGCCCGGACGCCAAAATGCGCGGGGCCCTGACCTGGCCCAGCCTCGCTGCCGCGGTGAGTGCACCCCCGTCGCTCCTCAGACCCCACCCGCCCCCACTCCTGACTTCAGGGCTGCTCAGTCTTGCCCAGCCTGCACTCGGGCGTCAGGCCGACCACGGTGTGACTGGGTACAGATGGCGGGGTACCCCCGCAGTGGCCGGCCCTGCCCTTGCAGGGGGGGCCCCACCCCAGTATGCGCCTGCCCAGCCCCCCCTCTCAGCTAGCCTATAGCAGAGGTGTGACTCCGGTTGCAGATTCACGCACAGGTGCCTGAAGACTGACCCAGGGCCTGAAATTGAGAGCGCCGACCCCTTCACCCCAATAAACCAACTGTTCATTTTGGAGCCCTGATTCACTCCAATAAACAAGCTCTTCGGTACTTGTGAGTCTGTGGGCACCCCGGAGCCCCCAAGCCCCACTGCCCTTTCTCCCACAAGCGCCCTCACGACAGGCCTCTAGAAAGAGTTTATTGCTGGGGCAGCGGGGCTTACGACAGGCCAGAGTATTGCAGCCAGTTCCCAGCCCCCCCCAACTCCTTTACAAAAGACGTTTTTACAGCCACCAGCCCTCTGTGCAGAGCACCCACCCCCGCCTCACTGTACACAGCTGCCTGGCTCCCTCCAGTCTCTGGTTCACAGCAGGCTCGGGCCTGCAGCCAGCTGACCTTGGAGTTGACCTGAGCCCTGAACTCCCTGGGCGCTGGGCACCAGCCAGCCCCGCCCGGGCCTGTCCTCTAGGCGGGGGCCTGTCCGCAGCCCCATCTGTACTGGTGTGCCTCGCGGGGGCTCCGTGGGGGCGGGAAGGGCTGTCGGTCCCGGTTCCGCTGACTTGACGCTGCCTCGGCCGTGCCTGTCACCACTTTCCCCTCTTGCTCCAGTCCTTGGGTGTGAAGTGCAGACACTTGGAGTCGATCCGAAGGAGCCGCTTGAGCATAGCCCGTTCGTGGCCGTCCACGATGTCCTCCGACAGTGTGAGGATATACTGGCCCTGGACAGACACAGCCAGGCAGGTCAGCCCGCCTGGGCGGGGCACCGCACCCCCCACACCGTCTCCCCCACCCGCCCCGCTACCTTGTAGTAGTTGATGAGGTTGAGGTACTGTAGCGTGGAGATGACGTCCTCCTTCTTGATACTGGTGATTTCACTGATCTCGCTGTGAGAGAGCAAAGATCAGGTCCCCGGGAGCCTCGACCTCTGCCCAGGCCCCCGGGAGCCCAGCGGGGAGTGCGAGCGCCCAGGATAGACAGGCCATGCACCGGGGAGGCGGGCCAGGCTCACTTGATGGTGATCTGCGGCCTTTCCCCACTCTCGGACTTCAGCCCCATCAGGATCTCCAGGATGGTCTGGGACCAGTAGCTTCGGTAGGAGAGAAGGCCAAGATCCGAGAGGGGCTTCTCAGGGGTCCCCGTTTTCCCTTCCACTTTGGAGAGTTCATAGCCTAAAGCGATGGGGGAGGGCGGGCAGGCGAACAGTCAATTCCTGCAGCCAGCACCCCTCAGCTGCGGGGACAGCTTGGTGACCCCCGCGCGTCTGCTCTGCACTTGGTGCTCTGAAGCTGCCCTGCACGTTCCCGTCACTGGAGGAGGTGTGAGGGCGCTGGCGGGTGCTACCAGCAAGGAGGCCCTCAGGACCAGCAAAGCTTACGGGAGGGGAGGGGCACGTGGAGAAAACGGTTTCTGGAAAGGTGCCACCAAGTGTCCCTGGTCATCGCAGACTGACGCTGCCTGGGCACATGGGAGGGCAGTGGACAGACCCAGTCTGGGTCCGGTCACTCACACTCAGCTCAGCCCCCCTAGTGTGACCCCAGGAGTCAGCTGTGAGGCCTAGCTGGGTGGTGCAGGAATTGGGGGCTCCTGTGGCTCCTTCCCTGCCCACTGGGCACTGGCAGATGAGGCCCTCATGCCCTGCATGGCCCCAGCAGGTTCATATCTCTTGGGCATTCATCCTTCCCTGCCAAGGCCTGGGGCGTCCACTGCTTCTAGAAGCTTTTCCTCAGTCATGGTCAGTCTCAATATTGGATCACAGCCCAGTGGGCTTTCTGGCCCTCAGTACATCTCTGTCAGCCAGTCTGACTCTTGTCCAGTCTCTTGTGATGAGAGACGGGCTGGTGCTCTGGCGGGAGGAAGGGACACGCCTGCTCCTCGGCGTGCCAGGACACCGTGCAGGCCAGTGCTGCACACCCCTCCTCAGGTGCAGGGCTCCTGCCCCGCCCCAGTGCGGCCAAGGGGGCGGTGAGCGCTGGCCGCCCCTGTGGCACAGGAGGAGCACGCCGAGGCTCCCCACCCGCATGGCATCTCCCCGCGGTCTGAGCACCAGGGCTTCCTTGGGCTTAGCCTCGGCCAGCTCTGCCGGGCTCGCGGCGTCCTGAGGACAGCCTCCGCCAATGGACCGTGACGTCCAGCCTCTGTCATCCCCAAACAGCTGAGGCTCCTTCCTGGCTCCTGCTCAGTGAGCGGAGACTTGACAGAATTGAGGGTTAGGCTGGGAAGCACAGGGCACTAGCTGGGGAGCACGAGGAGTCCATGTGTGATGAGGGGCCCCGAGACTGGCCTGCCTGTGTGCGGGTGCAGATCCGCCTTGCAGCCTACATATGTCTGTAGGGCTCGGGACCACTGGTCCTTGCCCAGGAGCTCGTCTGACATGACCAGACAGATGACCCACCCTGACTCACTGGGATCATGCCCCTGGCCAGGCCTGGAGGAGTTAGATTAGGGAGCAGTTACGTGGTGCTCAAAACCTCAGCTCAGAAGTGGGGTGGGGCTGAGGAGTGCAGGACAGTCACCCTGAAGATAAAAGAATCGGGGAGAGCCCCTTTCATTTCTGGTCTGCCCCTTGGTGACAGCTGCCTGGCCCCTCTGTCAGAGGCCCCAGTGGACACACTGGCACCAGGCCTGAGCCTGCCAGCACCCACCCCAGCCCTGGGCACACAGGTACTCACTGAACTCGATCAGTAGCTTGCCATAGCCCCGGCGCTGGTAGGGGGGCAAGGTCAGGATGCAGGCCACGTTGTAGTCTTCCGTGGACTCCTTTTCCTACAAGAGGGTGGTGGGTGTAAGGTAAAGAGCCGCTCAGGGCAGGCCTAGCCCCAGCCCCGCCTGGCCCCAGGAGCACACACCTTGGAGAAGTAGCCCACAATATGGAAGCCCTTGCAGTCGTACTCTGTCATGACGTAGAAGAGGAAGGGATCCGTGTCGTAGTAGAGAGTCTTGTGGTCGAGGAAGCACTTGGCCAGAAGACACAGGTTCTGGGAGTAACTCTGCAAGGGAAAGGCCTGTCACCGCTCTGGGGCCCCGCCCCGAGTGTGGCCACTGGGCTGGGGGCACCCCTCCTGGTCAGGCTGTCCCTGCTGCCCAGGCAGGGCCACTCTGCAGTGAGGAGGGGCCCTGGCACCACACTGTGGCCCTGCTCCCTACATTTCCACCAATGCTGGGGGGCCCACCGCCCTCTTAACAGTTCACAAATTGAGCTGCATCCCCAGGAGACAGACTTGACAGAGGCTGAGCGCAGCTCGGCGCCCGTGACAGGCCCAGCAGGGTGCGTGTCAAAACACCCTCCAGCCACGCCTAGAAGCAGGCGGCCAGGCCTCCCTGCTAGCCACGGGTTAAGGCACAGCACTATCAAGTTATGGCGGCTGTTGCGGCCGGAGTTCAACCCCCAGCCAGGGACAGGGCGCAGCAGCCCTCTCCTGCCCTGCCCGCTGCTCCCCTCGGCCGTGTTTCAGTCGATCCACCTGTTCTGCTCCCCACTCTGTCTCTGGGGCATCCTCTCACCCTCCCCCACCCGCTGGGATCTCTGGCCTGCACCCCAATTCTTGTAGGCATGAATAAGTTTTTAAAATCTTTTTTTAAAAGGGGAGTCCTCCCTTCTGGTGCCGTGGGCTAAAGCATAGCACTTGAAGCTCTGCAGCCACTGCAGTGCAAGTTCAATCCCAGGAGCGACCACAGGGCACAGCAGACCTCCTGACCCACCCGCTGCTCCCCGCTCTGTCTGGTGAATCTCATGACCCCACTCCCCGCCCCACCTCTGGCCTGTACTCTAGTCCTTGTATGCATAAATAAATTTTTTTTTTTAAAAAGAAAGAATACCAGCCATTCTAGAATGAAGGTAAAGAATTCTGGAACTGAACAAATCAGGCCTTAGACGTTCCTCAACAGAACGATTAGCCTGGCATCTCACCATGTGCCGGCTGGGGCACCGGATGCCAGATCCACACTCAAGCAGACACAACGGTCGCTAGAGCAACAGCTCCCCTCGGCGCCGAGCTAGCGCCTGCCTGCCCCCGTCCTGCCAGGTGGAGGGGCTCACGCCAGTCTCTCCGAGTCACCACTTGCTGGCTGCACAGCCACAGACTTGGGCAGTTTTGAGCCCACTTCTTGTGCCCCCACCTCAGCTGCCTTCATTCCGCCCAGCTGAGCTTTGCACACGAGTTCCTTCCCGTTGAAGCCCCACTGCTCGGGCTTCCCTCCGCCATGCTCTACTCAAGGCCCACACGCCCCTCGGCCGGCCTCCTCTGGGTCCTGACCCCTTCTCCCAGCTGTCGCCAGCCAGCAGCCCCAGGCAGCGCCAGCACCGCCCGTCCCGGTGGGCTGCGCGCTCGGAGCAGGTGCTGTCGCGTTACTGCTCTCTGTCCCTCCTGCCTCTCCACTGCCACAGGGACTCAACGAACGTGCTGTTGGCCTGACTGGGGAGTGTTTTAGTGTTTTTCTGAGCGGAAGAAGCCGCTCATCGGACTGCCCTGCCCTTCGCCCAGTGCCCAGGACTCCGCCCGACCTTGTTCTTACGCCCGTCGATCTCAAAGAAGGAGATGGTGCCCTTGCGGTAGATCTCATTGCCTGGCGGGTGCCGCAGGTCACACTTGGTCTGAAGAAGAGAGGAAGATCAGAGGTGGGGCGAGGGGGCAGTGCTAAAAGGGCGGGGTCCTGGGCCCAGCGTACCAAGTGACGCTGCAGACACTTGAGGCTCCGACCGTACTTGAGGCAGAACTCGCAGAGGTAGAGGACGGGCAGCGTGGTGAGCTCCTGGGGGTATGGGGAAAAGTACCACGGCTTGAGGCGGTGCCGGCCCAGCTCGATGCATTCAATGTTCTTCATGCGGGTGACGATGTCGTCGTGGCTCCGGTCAGATACCAGGCTGCCGGTCATGCGTGGAGCCGATGGTATCCCGTCTGAGCTGTCCTGGGAATCCTGCCAGGGCCGGGAGAGGCACTAGTTACGAGACGGCGGGTGGGGGACACCTTCGGCTCCCACAGCCCTTGGGCCTCTTCAAGTTTAAGGGCCGCGGGTGAGGCATGACAATCCCCACTCTCCAGAGAAACAGGCGTGGGCAGTTTCACAGCAGGTGGAAGATCACCCAGTAACTGACCCGAGCCAGCGCTGCC